ATGAATATCCCGTTTGAGTATGAAGTTCGATATCGAATGCCGCTTCTAGTCACCCTTCAGCTGGTTGGCACCATAGTCTAGCACAACGAAGCTACCTCCTACATAGGAGCTACTTGTAGCATACTTATGATAATCGAAAGTCGAAAACTAAGTTTGGCCTTTTGTGGCGCGAAAACCTTCATGGATGAAGCTGCTCTTCACTTGATCGCGATGCACCATTCTATAAAACGCATCAGCAAATATCAGACTGGCGTACTTTTGCTACTTTTTGAAGAGTTCTAGATCCGAGTGCTCCGTTACTGTATTATTTGCACAACGTTCACCTCACATATTGGCAATATATTGCTCATACAAAGCGGGAACATAAGGATGCCATAAATACTTCGTGGCGACTTCGTAACGCTGTTTTCTATTATGTTATTGAATGCTAAACGGTCTCATAGTTCTACGTAATGCGGTAAATGTCCGTTTCTCCGACCGTTAGTCGCCTAGGTGTTATCTTTAATGGCGCCTTCTTACTTGAATGCTACGAGCCGTGAAATAATGCTCTGTTCTACAGATGAAGATAGTTTGATATTGACTAGAAAAAAGCGCCAGAATGTCAGGTTTGTTGCAGCAGTGTTAATTATTATTACTGGCTGACAGCAGAGAGAGTTAACTCTGCGCGCATTAAGGCGATTTTGTTGATGTGAAGAATAAGCTCAGCATCGGGTCTACTTACCCACATCGTGTTCTGAGGGCATCATGCTTTTGCCCGCGCAGAGTTCTTCACTATACCATAGCACGATGAACTGCCCTGATATAAGACTCCGCTTATGCGGATCTCCAAGCTATTAGTTACACTAAGTTAGTCGGCGTCCACAGTAACGCTTAGATGTACAACGTCGACTTCTCACAACGCACAACACACCAACGCTTCTTCTAAAATTTTCGATCGGTTAGACTCTCTGGCTGAAGAGGCAACTATCGAAGCGAAACAGATAATAATAACCAGTCATTGTTACTGAGCTGCCCCGCTCCGTTAGCGGCCGACTGCATGAATCGAAAATCCCGTGGCTCAACTAAGCAACGTGCTTTAATATACACTGGACGTTCTTACCGAAATGAGCGTGTATCCTGCTGTGGTTTCGGAGCTGTCCTCATTGTTTTTGCCCTCTCCGAATTCGTAGTTTGGCATTGATGTCTCACGACAGAACACTACAAGATATTCTATCTTTTTTCACCAGCTTTCCGATCGCCTTTAGGACCTACGGACTGCAAACGCTGCTTTCATCTAGCTCTGAGAAAGGGGTATTTTGAGAAAGATGCCGGCGATAAATAAACATACATATTTAAAAGGCAACGAAAAAAAAAAAGGCTCGCACGTACGTGAGAGGTTCACTGATAGCAGTGCGCTGAAGGTTAGCACAATTTAGAAATCGTAGAAATTAACGGTCTTCCTTAAGGACAAAGTTGATATTGAATTCCGTTCTTGACGGTTCACTTGTGGGACATAATCCTTCAGCTCTAAGCTGACTCGTATGTGTTCTTAACCCTAATGATTCCCGTTGAATTAATGCCTAGGATTTTCGACCACTCGTAATCCTAGAAACATGCATATAGCGGCTTTGATATGTCGGAATGGTATTATCCCATTATATAAACAGGTATGTCAGTTAATAGTTATTCCGAGTTTGGAACCAGCTGTCGATTTTTTTTGAGCGAAAAATTTTCGAAGCATAGCCAAAGATGGATATTGTTTCACTTTTGCATAACGTAAATTAATCATTTCCGATCCAAATATTCTTCAAGTCAAGACGTACTTGGTTCGCCATGACGCGATTGGAACTAGCGCGTCGAAACGCGACATGTTAACACACACTGAAAGAGTAATACACGACTTTAATTAATTTGTATTCTACTCAAACTGGGTTCTGGGTGTTTCAGTAAACGGGCACCGCTTTCCTGTTTGCTGGTTTGTTATAGCTAGAAAACTGCGCACTTACAGATCACTCATTGGGCATAGTCGCGGATAGGTGCCTACGACAATTTTTCTTACTATATACGACAACCTATTGCGACCCGCTTTGTCAAATTTATATCCCTTGCTCGTTGAGCCTTACGATTCCTAGCTGCAGCAAGAATATCGATGTGATTGTTCATTGGGAATATTACACTGCTGGATTATATACTTTTTATAGACTATATATCTATAAAATTCTATATAGAACGGAACAATCTGCCTATTATTTTTCTACCATTGGATTCTGTCATACGTGCGAAAAGCCTTAAAGTTGAGACGGTGCCTGCGTAGGTCAATGAATGAAAATTATACAAAAAGTGAGAGCTGTTAATGGGTCATTCGCTATCGTTCGCTACAGCTGATGCAAGCAGTGCGTGTGAGTAGCGTATTTACTTGCGTCGCCATAAAATACTGCAACGTATCGTGGGAAACCAGACTAGGAGACAGGCCAAGCGGCTGCCCTAGTGTAGTTAAGACCTATACAGGGCCGGCTTCTGTTGCTTCTGCCGCAAAGTTGCTCCTGATGCTGTGGAAGATTCACTATGGGGCACTCGATGTGGTTAGCAATCGTACATTTCGGAATGGAGAGACCCAAGTTAAAGTCGATTCATTGTTTCAGCGCTAAAGAGTCGCTAATCTTTGCATGCCTCCCGCAGCAGCAAAGCCAATATACAATATAATCATATTGGTCATACGAATGGAGCAGCTGGAAGTAAGAACCAAGGTTTACTCCGATTGGAGACGCTGTGGGACGGCAGACAGGCAAAGATTTTAGCCGTCCAGCCTTGTCTGACCCGCCGCTACCCCTGCGATGACTGTCTGCGAATGGTCGTCCGAATGGCCAAACAGGTCACTGCTCGCTTGACTATTGTTGACAATAATTGGGACGGCATAAAATACACGCACGCTGTCGATTAACGCACTTAGTAATGTCAATAAACTACAGAGAAGCCTTTTTATTAAGGTAAATAACTGTGAGGCGGTGTACATGATTATTGTGTATTCTTCGTTATAGACCCTTATCTTCACGGTTCAGGTATCTTAGGAAGATTAGAAAGCATCGAAGGCTAGATAAATAGCAACCGTAGCGAAAAGTAGGGATAGATGTACGAAAAAATATGAATTATTGTTTGAAAATTACGCCGCAGATGTGTTTGCGGTGGACGGCGCAATATGCGAGGCGCCGTCGGCCTCAACTAAGATGGCTCCCTCATTTCCCCTATAGAGATATCTATAATGCTGATGCTGAGCGCGTGGGAAGTTTGCTTGCTGTTCTATACCACAATATAATTGAACGCGCCATATGTAAGAGTAAATCATTTATTTTACGATTTAGGGACGAACGTCATTTTAGTACAATTTATATAAATTGATGGCGCTATAGTTAAAATGTGAGACACTTTGGACACCAGCGTCCGAAATATTATTTTACGCAAATAAATCTTTATACGGCAGCAGGGTTCAGTTAATGGATAACTAAGTGCACAATTTATAGCAGGATGCGATGGATACCAAATCGATAGTGCTACAGTCTAACGACAAATATTTGCCACGGCGAAACGTAGAATTTCAATACGTAATAGGGTGTCAGCATGCGGCATTTAACGATGATCAGAGATGTGGCTGTGATGACAGAGGACGTGTCTGACCGATCGTCTAATACGTATAAGTCTATCGAGCCTAAATAAAGGCTCGAAATATACAATCCAAGAGCCTGTTTGGGTCCCAGCACCTGGTAACAACCTTTCGTCACGTAACCCAGACCTCTCAATGATCAGGAGACGACTACGACGACGACAGCGGATACGCACCTGTTTTGTGGTAAAACATTGCATCTGTCCACCTATTGCTCACGTCATTATCAGTAACAAAAAATAACGTTATAAAACGTTGATTCATAAAGTATGCCGTGATGCAACCGAACAGCAGACGGCTACGGTATATAAATGCGGTACGTCGAGGTAGGTTTTGCGAGCCAATGTATCATCATATATTGCATCTGGCTATTCAGAATGACACATTTCTGCTCCCCCGGCTACAAACTAACATGGCGTTATATTGTTGTCGTTGTTGTTGTTGTTGTTATTATTACTTACAATAAACGTTACCCAATCTACCTATGCTAACCGTGGAGTACAAATATTTACTCGGATTGCCTCAAGTTAACCGTAGCCACACGAGTAGCTGAAATTGTTTATATTTTTGGCAACAATCATCAATTAGCCAAATGGTGATTGGCTAACGAACGCACCGCAATCGTCATCGAAATCGACCTTAAGACCTTGAAGTAAGTAATTGAATCCTTAGTTCTCAACTTAAATTTGTCGTTTCAAAGCTCCGGTGCCGTTCGCGACATTAGTTCACTCAGAAGATGTCTTCTAAACATTGACAATATCTAGTGCTGCCAGCTGACCAGAAATCGTTTTGATCTCTGTTTCAACAGGGGGCAGTTACAATGTTGTTACAGGTTGTCGCGTTATTCTTTTGCTATCACTATGTCAGTGTAGGTGTACCGAAGGGCTACACCCAGTAAAACTTTACGTCTTTAATTTCGTTATGGTAGAGTAGCCGTAATAACTCGTATATGATGCGTTCAAGAAGGCGTTCATATTTAAGTCAGCTGACGCTTGCCAACGTCCTTTACAAACGCAGGCAGAGAATTTGTTAGAAGCTCGTTATTGAATACAGATCAAGAGCAAATCGTGTCTGCGGTAAAGAAACTTTGAAAATTAATTGTGTTTTTTTCTTGTCGAGTTTGATGCGAGGAGGGACAGTTTTTCACAGATGTCAATGTTTAAGGAACGAGTTAGTGGGCAAACAATGGAAAAAATTGTAAAGCGCGTTTATTCAACATGACAAAACTTGCAACGGAAGGTATTTTGAAAAGCATGTTCCCTGATGAAACAATAAGCCTGAATACGTATTCTTATCTACGTAGTTCCCATACTGGATCAAATTCTATGACGTCGTAAGCTATTAATTAGAATTATTAACTAACCTTGTAAAATTTCCGAGAGGTCGTATCTCATTCTCGTCACTAGCAATACGCTGTCGATCTCCTCGGCCTTCAGAGCTGCAACCGGGCCCGTCCTCACTGTTGTTACAGCCGCTAATGCTACTGTCTTTTGAACACGACGAAGACACAGCAGCAATAGGAGAAGCAGCAGCAGCAGCAGAAGGAAAAGGAATATTTGAGAATATCCTCTGCTGTGGAGATCCTGCAGGAACAGAGCTGCTGCCTTTGCTGTGTTTTTTCGGTCTTCGTGGGGGCGTGACTGGCTTACTATCCGTTACCCCCAGGTCTGTCGGGCCTCTGCAAATGTTTGTTAATTGTTAGTTGTTCTACTGCAACTTTTGATAACAATGCCTAGAAATTTCAATTAGAAATGATTTAAGCTTTGCCGGTAAAACTAAGATTCGTACGGGACATAACGAACACACGCGTCAATGTGTAATGGCAATATTGGTCTTGCAACGTAATCTAAATAGCGCACGATACCAATCACAATATAAACGTTGCGAGGTTATCACGCAAACGACTTTAGAGAACGGCATCACTTGTATGTGTTAAAAGGGTCTGTCTATTCCTAAGAGCGTTATAGTAACTATGGACCCGTTTCACCATTTTGTGCAGGTCTGTCACTCACATACGTACGTCTGCCGCAATGAGATACTGTTGTGAAATTCCAGAGCAACAGGGAAGATGCTCTCTAACGTCACAAGCTCTTCCTTTTGCTAACGGTAATAAACGTCCCAGTGAGCTTAAACCAAATGTCACATCTTTTCCTCACAGTACGTCCGGTGCTTATACAAACCTAATAGTCCGCATGTCATTTTACATTGTCTGTCCGAAAATCTATGAAGTATCGCTCATCAACGGCTGTAACTATGCAATTTCCACACCGTATTCACCGTTCACGACATTGCCGAAAATTTAATTTCCCAGAAATATCTCCGATATTTACAGGTACCCCATGGTGAAAATTAGCGCATCGTACAGTCATCTAAAAGAGGCGATTATTTTTTTTTGTAGCATGAGCATTACTAGCGGTAGAGGGCTTTCTCTCAAAACTAAGTAGCTGGTCACTTGAATAATGAGGCAATATTTATTGTTGATGACATCATGTTGATTGTTATTGAGTTTTAGCTTCAATATATTGCCTGTCTTGCATCAGTACGCTCTCCGCTAACCGCAATCCACTGCAATCGATTGACGGTGATCGCTGGATCGTATGTGGCTATTAGTTCGCTATCCAACCCATTTGTGGTTCTACCCATACTCCCTAATAGATGCATATGTAAATGTTTGGGTAAAATTTAGCCAAAAGCGGATCGTTTCAGAAGCGAACGACCTATTATCAATCGGGTGCTACAAATGTCCAGCTCCGTGGAAGACAGCACCTTGAGCTACCTAACATGTTTGCGACGCGTACAGAATCCGTGTGTTTATCACATGAAGACTTGCGCATTGCTTCTCGTGTTTGATGCAAGCCTAATCTACGTTCTGTAAGAGGGGACATATGCGTAGACGAAGCAGCGCATGTCTTTTTTTAGAACGTGGTTTTTATTATTATTTTCTAATTTTTTTTTTAATTTGTAACTTTGTTCCTCTTTAAAGGTCTCCAGGCGTTTGTGGACGGCGAAAAGCGGGGCGGTCCCTCGCTCCGCAGGGTAGGTGTATTCTTTTGGATGACATTGAAGCTGCTATGAATAGCAAAAATACGGTCATTGACGTAGCGTTAGCGTAGGCTACCTGTTGATTTGATGCTGTCAGAATGCATCGTTTAGCCATATTGTAGCAATATATCCCCTTTTCCTAAGCTACTCATATCGCGTCAGTTTGCTTGCAGAGCAGGGAAGTACCGTTATGGTAATTGTTGAAATTAAAAATGGCACTAAGTTATCATTGGAATATGTCTAACAGGACTCCGATGAAGTTAAGTTAGAAATTACATTATCATCACCACTAAAATGTTTTTTGCTGTCGTTAATAGCAATGATCTATCGCCGTTGATCTGCGGTAACTTCACACACAATCATAATACCCGTCACGATTAGGCACAACTCAATCGTTCGTTCAAATCATATCGGTTCGGCATTTTGCAAAGACGCTTTTGTTGTGTTATAGGTGCCAGTCCCATAGGTTACCTTGTGCAGTCTCATTCATTAACGATACGTATCTGCTGTAGCCGGTGTTCATTGACGCCTCCGAGCCAACTGATATGTGTCTAATCTACTACGTTTAACGTAGTTCATTGCTGCTGCCGTAGCTTTTATCGTAGTCGTCGATACGCGTACGCCATGCGTGAATGAATCCGGCTGACGAATAGCTTCGGAACACGTGTACAACGTCACAGTAGCCTGCCAACGGCGTCCATCAAATCTGATATGCGTACGCTACCATTGTTACCAGCATCGTCGGCGGTTGGAACGGTGCTAATGGAAGTGACAGCGCTGCAATTGAAATATCCCACTTCAAACCGATCATTGTTCGACCCGCTTGAGTGGCTGGCCGTGTATCGAGCGCATGTGGACACGACCAGTGGAAGCTTTTAGCAAAGTTGTTTTTCCTCGATCTTCTTAGCCGGCTCATGAGTGATGAAAGGGTTCAGCAAATGATTCGCAGGCAACTCGACGGCTGCACAACGGCGGAACAACAGAAGCCCATCGTTGCTATATACTGATTTAACGCTGTCGTCCTATATACCTTTGTCATGAGGATATGCTGCGGTTCTAGGGCGTCGTTTGACGCGTTTCGAAGTAGTAACGGTGCTCCACCCTCCCATGTCATCCGACATTAAACAGGAACAACATAGTATACGTCATCTGGTTTGGCGCACGTATCCACACGGTCGTACTCCCGTTAACGTCCAACTTCCTTTCGCATATGCGTACATCTCAGGCCAGTGTTGGCGCGGTCATGCTTCATACACTAACTGCCGCCATGACTCGTCCATCTTACAGTAATAGCAGCAATTAAAAATCAATCGAAATAACAACATTTCCTTAACATGGATATAATGATGATGGTGATGATGATGATGATGTATTTTTACTTTCGGTATTACGGTCGCTTCATCATGATCGGAAGAAGCTTCAGACGCGCATGCACAGCTCTCGCTGGTTGATGTCTAAGCGACTTGCACTTAGACCCTTAATGCGGCATCAGCATTACATGTGAATAGAAGATCCGTTTATTGATTTGTATCGGTGGTGCCTATCTATGCATTACAGGGAAAATGAATCAGGGAAAATGAAGGAGCATCAGAAGCTTAGGCTGTTTTTAGGGATGATCTTCCAACTAACGCTGTCTTTAAGACACTGAACGCATAAGCCTTCGGCTTGTTTAACCAGTTCGCGATTGTGAAGACTTGGGCGTTTGCTGCGTATCGGTATCGCAATAGTTACAAGTAGTCCACCCATTGAGCGTATCGGGTTCGACCCGACTAATTGCAATGTGATTAATGCACCCATTAAACACATTGCAATTAAAACGCGCACAATGGGATCGATTCGCGATGGCAAACAGTAAACAATTGTTACAGCTTGAGCATATCAGTATTGATCTTGAAATCAATCCTTGTGCTGTGACAATCGGGAGCTGGCATTATCCGCTGAATAGTGTTTTTGTACAAGTTTGACATAGCTGCGAATACGAGAACGCCGTGAAGTCTGAACGACCACTATCAAACCATTCTGAAAGGCTACTTACTCAACCCCTATCTCACATCACTCAGTGGTAGCTGGGTGATAATGGCGGATACCATATGAACAGGAAGTTACCCTTTAATAACTTATGTTCGAATGTCCGATTTCTTTACGTCTGGAAGTAGATTAATGGAGAAAACGCAAGGTTCTTGTAGCCAGTGTGTATAAATCACTTTTTTTACCCAGTTTCTCTAACAAATTTCCATTTTCACCATTATGGGACGATTAATGTTCAGTTCAACGCTGCGCCCTATAGCATATAGTTTATAAGAGCTAGAAGTGTTTTAACAATACCCGTGGCGTTAACACTAACGCTCAGTATGTCTGGAAACTATAACGTACTTCCAAGGATCAACTGGCTCAACCCTTTCGAGAAACGTACTTTTTCCGAACCGGTGAATTTCCGAACCAAAGACAAGGTTTAAAAAGTGTGTAGAGAAGAGTATATGTCATTCCGAATGTTTTTTTGCCTGGCCATACATTTTTCAGGCTTCACGGCTGATCCTTCGTTTGTAATTAATATAAGCAAGATCATCCATCTCTCAAGGAGCTCTGTAGTCGTCTAACGAGACGATTGATCGCGAAGTTTGCTGTAATGGCATCGGATTAATGCTCTCCTGTCCCGTCCGTATCGCAAAGGAGAGCCGTTGTTGCACACAAAATTCTTCGACCTTATCGGCGTCTTTGGTAACCGCGGCACGATGGCCATAATGGATTCGTGCGTACGCGTGCATGTGTGCCTGTTTATTTGTATTAGCGGATGCATGTCTCTGGTTAAGAATCCATAGTCAATCCTAACAATTATAAAGGGTACTATAGTTGCGATCATTTCCACTACCACTACAGCTGCAGTTACTTACATCAGTACTATCACGACTTCGGTCATCAACAAACACACGCTAATAGTTACAGTTACGCAACCCTAGGGCGCAGTGAGCAAGAGCTAATAACAGAATTTTTGTCTAATAGATTTGTAGTTAATCCCAAGGACAGCATGCACAGATGACAGTAAAGGAGGCACGGGGAATGATCTGCAGCGTCGACATGTCACAAACTATAACGACTGGATAGAGCCAACTGGGAACGATCACCGGTCACGTGGTGAGATAATTCGTACGAGAAAGTAGTTAGATCACTGTCCATTCACCAATTCGTAAGGCGACCATTATTACCACGACGTTTCCGCAGTAATGCTGGGTTACAATGTAGTACCAACGAAATGGCGCGGGACAATAATTGCAGTAGGACAGTTTTTACAATCAGATCTGTAAGAATAAAAATCGACCCAAGAAATAATAGTGGGTATCCTGGAATAATAAAAAACTAAGTGGAACATTTACGAAGGCTTTTTACATGTACATATTAGTCGATCGTCAAGGTGTCGAAACTTTTTTGTTGTAAGAAATAGGATGCGTCCCTTTAAAAATGAGGACATAACAAGGGGGAAGGCGTAATCCAATGATTAGTTCATGAATGATTCATAATTCGACAGCTAAAATTTACATTTTTACCCTATCAGATTAGGTAAAATGCATTGCCGGACCACAAAAGCTTAAATACAGTCACTTACACGTAGATTGCTGGTTAGCTACGCAAAAGGAGCTAGGACTTCTCTCCCGCATCTGTTGTCATCAGAGTAGATCTACTGAAAAGGTCAACACGTTATGATCAATAGAACGCTCGGTCAACAGAACAGTCATAAGAAATCCGGTATTCGATGCCTCCTGTTATCCGACACGTTAAATCAGATCTTGTTCCGGTCCAACAACTATGCTGGTTTGTCTGTATATTGTGAACAGGGATTCTAGCAAATCTTTTCAGGCGAGCCTTTGATTAATAGCGGGTAAGCTTCAATAAACTTTTAGAGGACACTGGCTAGCTAATTCTTCAGCCTAACGCCAACATGTATCCAATCGGTTAAAATAATGGCATATAGGTCACTTGATATTTCAGGCTTTTTCTGGTGCTAGCATAACTATACTGCCTGACTCGTCGTCTGATATATCTAATCTATTGGACGACAGAAAAGCACATGAGAACTCACGTGGAATACTGCACAATCAATGCCATAAGCGTGTTTCACTTGTATCCTCATAGCAACTTATGCTGAAAGTACCCTGTCATTCACCTTTACTATATACTTGCGCTTGGTTCACTTCCGCGGTGCTTTCTTCGGTTGCTACGGTAAATGCTCGTATGGATATTCTGTCCACTAATATCTACCGGCTTGAATAATTGAAGCGCTAGCGGCTTGCGCCATAGTGAGACCGGTCACTTGTAGCTCCGTTCCTGATCTAGTTAGTGTTACTTTTGCGCTTCAAACGAAGTAGCTTATACTTGGATAACTGCTTCGTTCGCCATTGCTAATGTCGGCCAGCGATCGGTACTTTGTCTATCAGCTACTATGTTACACTACTGTGACGGACACCACAACCATGGCAACATTCCCTCCAGAATTAAGAGCACATCAATGAGGTCAGTTACATTCGTCAAAAAATCCGAAGCCATGAAGTGCTACGTTCAAAGGCGGCTTCTGCCAGACAACGTCCTCTTGCTGCGAACTGGCTGTTTGTGGCGTCAAGACGTCGGTGTCCGGCGAAAAAATCGTAGCGTCAGATGTCCCACCCGGAGGATATTTCGGCGCTAGCGAGCGAGCGAGCGAGCGAACGAACGAACGAACGAACGAACACCCTCCTTGACTATCGAAATGCTGCAAGCTCAATCAGAGATCGTCCAGCCGCTTTTCAGATATGTATGTAGTCGCCAGTCAACAACGGCAGAAGCAACGGCAGCAACCATATGTTGCAGTAGAAGACGAAGTGCGTACTAAAGTTTATTGAAGTTTCCGAAGAGATTAACTGGTCATTTATTCTATAAAGTATAAACGTCCACATTTCAAATTCTAGGTGAAAGCCTACTAGTCTATAACGTCTTACCTCCAAAAAAAAGCGAAAAGCGGCCAGCTAACAAAAAGCCATTGGCTTCCCAGTTCGACATCACAGTTCAAACCGTGCTGCACGCGCTGACATTTGGTAGCAAACTTCAGTCGCTTCCATAATTTACATAACTTACGAATGTGAAAATATAAACCCTCTGCTATTCTAACCGTCTAGATGCCCTTTCGTCAGGCCGGCACGAGACAGGCAACAGCAAAAACCCACATCGTTTTCCTCATGCAACCGGGAACTTAATGAGTCCTGAATTTTCGAATGTTTGACCTGGTTATCTTTGACATAATCGCTACCTTCCGCAACTATTTGTTCCGAACGCCTGTATCTCTTGCTCGTGCCGACGACCATAACAATGTCTCTGATACTGTTTACTATTACTTTTAGATTCATTCAAAGTTTGCATACTTTGTACTGAGAAGTTTTAAAGGATGTCTGCTACATTATCGGTTTTTCTCACAAATTTTAAGAATGAAGAATTTGAAAAAATCCACGGGAAATCCTTCAAACATTGAAAGTCGTTGATTGTTTTAACACGTTTTATGTAATGTAGACTTACAGAAAGAAATATATATTGATCAAATATCGCATGGAAGCTGTTGTATGGAAAATAACTCAGACATAGCAAAACTTAAAAATGAAAATATACATTGTAGGGCAGTGAGGTAGATTATGTCCTTACAGATTGGACCGCCTTTCAAGTACATACTAAATAACAACTGTAGTTTCTTAATGTGCTTATTTTTTTTCTGCTAGAAAAGTTTGCGCGCGAACACGTTCAAGCTAGACGTTGATTTCCTTATAGAATATTCTACTATACTAATCTCCCATGTACGTACAAAAGTACGATGAATATTTCTTCACCGGGACATGCTAATTAGCAATTGTTCTCCTTTTGTTTCTCGGCCCCACGAAAGCAATAAGATCCATTATAAAATAAATAAACACCATTATTATGCTACTACGCCCTTTACAACTGATTCAAGAACGCAGACCGATACATTGACACCCTTCTATTACTGGTAGTACTAATCCATTTACTATAGTTTATATGGAAGCTTCCTATTTAATGAGGTTGACACGATCCTTTAAAAGCTTCTGTATTTGCACGAGTGGACGAGTCGATACATATCCATAATCACAATAACAACGGCTATGGGGCGGGCGCGTAATTCTCTATGGCGCGCTATATGCCCCTTATGATCTTGCAATTGTTCAGACGAATTTACTCCAATAACAGAATGAAAAATGTTACGATTCGTATGGTGCTTTCAGTGTTCAAGTCTCCTCTACTGTTTCGCATTGCTAGAAGAAGAAGAAGAAGAAGAAGCCCTTCTTAGCAAAGCGAGACTCCACGTCAATATGCCCTAACGATCGTGAAGCGTCCACTCGCATCACTTTCAGCATGTTTACAAGCTGGCTCCTGCAAGCATCTTGAGAGCTGGCCATGTCTATTGAAATATAGTCAGCACGGCGTGTGTTTTAGTGTCCGCGTGTCAATCGACAAAATAACTATGGTCGGTGCGGAGAAGGTTGGTCGATTTGATACGATCCATCGTTTTCGTTGGAGGAGCAACGACAGCGCGGAGATCGGAAGCCTACGACAGCGTTATGTCGGCACATCGATGATGATGTTGTTGTTGTTGTTGTTGCCTTTGTGATGACATCGAAAACAATGTCACTTTTCTTCTCTCCGCGTTTCAGTTCGACGCGCCCGTAGCGACTCCTATATAGTGCTCAATACGTTACGGCCGCACAGACTACTTAGTTAGTCAAAGATGACAGAGATGGCGCGACAGCGGCAGCCCTAACGGCTACCAACTAGGCCCAATTGCCAACGGCCGAAACCGTTCGTCGGCTCGATGGGTTTGCATCATGTTGACAATGTCTGTGAGAGTACGTGTCGTTTGTTATTTGTCCACGATGTGATCACATGACATGTCAAAGGGGAACGTCACGGGGATGCCTAATCGACGCGGCATAATGGCGTGGGGTGGACTAAGGATAATGCAGTAAAGGCGGTCGAGTTAGAGCGAGACAAAGGATTTAACGCCTACTAGTTTATTTTCTATTGAATTTCCAAGGCCAAAGTTATTATTCAATCCAATTACACCAAATATTTGTCTATAGAGCCGACGTAACATAATTATTCCATCGATCGGCTACCCTTGAGAGCGGAGCCGAGGAATTGTTATATGGCAATATATATATATACGCGTGTAAAGTTTGGCCGTTGTTTTAACTTATTTCCAAAATTATTTTTCTAAATCTGCATACTCAACAAATGTACATTCTGAGGGAAGTTGACCATGGAACCGATAATTGAAAAACAGTAAAATCGTTTGCCGCACGTCGATGGATGTTGCTAAGGGCACTATTGAAATCTATCTATCTGAGGGTAACTTAATATCGAAGCTATTAGGGACTACAGCTCAAAAAGCAGTTAGAAATAAACGTGACTGTGTATAGACGCTGCGATAACTAGTGGATTGCATCTGGTGATCGAATCTTGTCAAGCTATAAATATTACTCGATCCCGATTTAAACAGAACGTATTGCATGTATCATCAATGTAAACCAATATGTTAAACCGTAAAATGGGAATGCCTGTTTACTGCTTACATTTTACGATAAATTGCAAGTTTTGCAAAACTTGCACTTGTACTCTGTGAATCAGTCTAATACTTTTTTCATAGTTTTCCAGTTCGAGAAATGTTTTCTATCCTTAAGACTGGCTATGATCCCGCGATGGAAATAACTTAGTACAACAACGTATATTTTGCGTATAGCGACGTTAACTCTAGATGTCTACTTTCTTCTTCTCCCTTCTTTCGTCACTTGAGTAACATTTGGATTTGCCCTGGTCATAGGATTTGCATAGTCACCAACTGCTTGAGACGGAGCTTTTTTTAAACATTCATATTACGCACTACTATAGCATGAAGTTTAGTCGATGGAAGTTCTTACCCATCTTTCTATATTTTTCCAATTAGCCTCCAGACATGCTGTCGTTTCCCGTTAAAAAAAGAACTTTCATTTTTCAAAAATTCTCACTATTCTCTGAATTGCTCATCATCATCATCATCGCAAATCTGTGTGCGTTTTGCCTGTGAAAGGACGTGTATATACTACCCACATATTTATCAGCAAAAAACACTGGAATACAAAGTGGCAATAAATGAATACGCGAGCTGCCATTGTTACAGCATGCTTTGCGTGCAAATACAGAAACTTTTTTTTTTTCTCGCATCTTTTAATGGACCGTTCCTTTGTTTTTTGATAAAATTCTTGTACTAGCTGCCAATTAGAGGATGTCGAGACCTAGAAAAGGGAATGGAATTGTCCTCACAAGAATTAATGCGACCTAAGCACTAACCGTTGGGTATGCCTGGAATGGTCGTAGGGCCAAGGCTTGTTGGAGTTTTCGGAGGTCCTTTTTATTATAAGGTTCTCCGTGGCCTTCCGTCTAGGTAGGTCGCCCACGCGGTAGACACTGTCGACAAGTGACCCCTATTAAAATTAGTACTACTCTTCAGACTACGCCAAAGAAGACCCAAACACATACCACCTCGTTGCTCTCATAAATAGGAAGACATCTAATCAGATGTTTCATACTTGATATTCATATTTGATTTGGGACGTAACACATCCTCTAATGTATACACAGCATCAAATTCGGCCATTCGTTGGGATCGTTTATTGTTATGGGAGCACACAGGACAATGCTGGACCATTTCTCTCGGTCAACCGCTCTGTAAATACTCCTCTCTTAAAAACTCGGTTTGTTTAATGAAAAAAAAAACCTATATAGTGATACTTGGCATTCGTTGTCGCACTTGTGAAATACCTAAATAATCATAAATAGACTAACGAATTACGGTGCAGACGAGACCAGGTTGGCTGTTTTACCGGCAGGAGTCAGCAGGTACTTTCGCGTGACCGTTTGTAGCTTGTGGGCGTGTTCACGTCCGTTTCCCGTACGCTGATGCTGTCGCTGGTACCTATTGTCAGCAGGTAGACAAGCGTTGAAGTTTTGGTCGTAAAACGGCTGGTAAAGGTTTTCTTTTAAGGAGAGCCACCGCCGAAAAAGTGCTAGATCTATACACAAGCTATGTCAAGACAAAGTAACTTTCCAAATCACTGCCTGCACAATTCGTCGGTGAATGCGGCTCATCTTTTACATTGAACGTCACGTCACAATAACATACGTATAATTGGCTTCAATAGGTCGCCCAACGAAACCTTTTCCCTTTTTGCTTTTTCTCCTATTTGCCTATAATGGCTCGAAGAATAATCTTTATCAAAGCTAGCGTATTGTTGTAAAAAACGACTCACAAGCAAGACAAATGGCGATACAATGGAGAGTTGTATGTAGGTTTCCGCTCACAGCGTTCGTTATTCTATTCGGTTCGATAGCTCGATCCTTTCTATAGCTGTTGATCTAAAACGAGCCCGGATAACGATATATGCCTGTTTCAATAGATTGAATTTTTAAAACCTCGTCGGTAAGTTCTGCTACGTCATATTACATCACAAATTAGGCCAGATACAAAACGACGTCTGATCTTAGGCCAATATCAGGTTTGAACTGAAAAATGAGAGGCAAGCCAGCATAACGACACGTACATTAATATTCTTTGTCCGCCATCGGCTACAATAGAACAGCAATGGCTACACTATAATAATAGTAGTAGTAATCACAAGCGTGGCAAAATGAAAAAAAAATAGATAGTGATGCATTGATTTATTACGCTCGAGTACTCGATTGGCGAAGTTGCAGAATTAATATTCTTTGTCCGCCATCGTCGGCGTCGGATAACGCAATTGACTGCTGCTGCTGCTGTTGGTAGCTATTTCAGCCAGCCAGCCAACTAAAATGAAAAAATAATAGAAAAAAAAAAGAAAAATTACAAAATAGATGGAAGGGGAAATGCTTGAGGCTTATGGCAATGATAGTCTGTCACAGCGGGTTAACTCACTGAAGAGCAAAGTATCACCAAGAGCATTAAAGACAGAACGGATCTGATTTCACTCTCTTCTTAGGCCCTATGTAGATTCACTGGTATTTTTCTCCATGCAAACAAGAAGATGATTCTTTTATAGGGGTTTCCATGTGCTGTCTGTATTTGGACACGTGGACGCAAGATCGTGTTGCCTTGAGGTTGTCGTTAGCGCTACGGGTTACTGCTAGTCTTGCATGTCAGAACTGTGGTAACAAATGAGAACTTTGCTGATAGAACGAATACTATTATGCGGCATTGACATCCACCAGAATCAGAGCTAAGTTAAGAACGAGTTGTATAGACCTTAACCGCTTTCAACTTTGCGATTATTTTTCAGGTAGAAAACGAAAGGATAGAACAGAACAGTTGGATTGAAACCGATTATAGTTCGGTATCCGTGATGCTAGTCGACGCACAGTACAATGTTTCTGCAAAAAACCGATACGAGGAAAGGGCACTGACATAACGTTACGTTGAGAAGTCACGCTGTCTTCATCAAAACGCAACTCTGAAGTGAATGATATCCTCACGGCCTGGTACTATGCGCTGGCTTCGATAAAACAGCCTCTAGTAAACTTTATCTGTTGGTAAGCATGTCTGCATCTATACATTGCGTTCGCTTCTGCACCCATTATCATGTACGGGCCACTCTGACTGATGCCTATCGAAATGGTTTTGGCTATCTCTGTGTCAACACACAAACTACACATCATTGTGTGCAATTTGATTTCGAAGTTTCCGTGATAATGCAGCGGGCTGCATGTTTGCCTACTTAACTTAAGGACCCACTTCATTTCGGAGCGAACCGTTCGAAGCAAGGCCGGACGGATCAAGTACCCGACGTAAAACTCTAGAAACATTGAATTTAATCCGATCTATAGCACCGTAATTTTTACAAATACCGCCTGTAGCCTACTTTTTATGACTGCGCTTTAAATGGCGTTGCCTATTGTAGACAGTCGGTAAATTGATCCTGCAATTTTCGTAACGTTTCCTCGAAACGAGTTATTGCACAGGACGCATATCATTCATTGACAAATCTGCAATATAGCTCTGTAAGCGTAAAATAAGATGAAAGGATAAACTGAAAAGTAAGTTTATTGGCCTATAAAAGTTTATGTCAAGCTAATTTAAACACCTAAACCTAACGTTGATAGCCATGAATGACCTAGACTGAACTAACACACCCTAGTTGGTCATGTGAAGACTGAACTTTGCTAGTCTTTGGAAAAAAATCTAATATATCTACCGATCTAATATAATTTAGTACTATACTTCTACTACTAAGCGAACGTTTATAGATGTGTTTCACCTATTAGTGTATATAAAAATGTCTGGGATAATTCTGTGTTTTATCGTATATCGGCTATAAAATATTCCGATGACGAAAGCATAATTGTTCGCGCTGCTAAACTTGCAGCTGGACCGCAAAAACGGTCAGCCATTATTTACTCTAATACACAAACGATTGAGCGTCTTTGAAGAGCCGCAATTTAGGATCAATTTTTTTTGCCGTTAACTATTTAAGGCGCCTCAGATTTCGCGAGCTAGTTTATGAGCATCGAGATGAAAGCACTAACGTATACAGCCTGGTATACAAGTGCAAAGTAAGTTTCACATAAGTTCAATTCTGTATACAAGTTCAAGAAAGGGAAGAATGCAATTTTATGACTGATTTATTAATAACCTTCGGTAAAAAAAGCTTCCAAGAAGACCGATGGACTAACCACCAGCGTAATTATCAGAGGCTGATAATATATTCTGCATAGTCTATAATACTTTAAACGTGAAACAGTTCTGTCTCATTGGCCCGATTGTCGTTTCACGGTGTTTGTACGAAGATCTCTATTGAGGGATCGATTTTAGTTCTGCGGTAAATGATAGTCAATCCCAATTTTTCTAACAACGAGTCGAAGCTATCTTGCATACTTTGCTATCACAGTCGTGTGGTAAGGTTCTAGTCACTATCTGAACTTCCGTTCGCGCGGACAGAATGTCCTCCTCTAGCATAACAACGAACTAATATAGTAAATTGCCCGTCATAAATTTATTTGACCACCCCCTTTTCAGGAAAACTACAACAAACGAGTCAGCGTGGCTCGCTATGATATTCATTTATTCGGTGGCTGTTGCTTAAAAGTAAAACAACGAAGACAAATTGTTCAATATTTCTAGTTAGATACCAAGTTTGAGACGCTTGCAATCGCTACTAGAGCCGGCGACGGGCATTTTGATGAACTAAAGTACACGAGACGCTTTCCTCATCCGATTAATTGGGCTATTTCAAATATTCGTCGTAAACAATGACTATTGTATGTTGTCTCAAGTCTTCAAGACAAAAGGCCGTAGAAAATTCGGCCTCTCTCTAATCGCTATTTATCCAGGCTTCCTTTTACGATATCTTAGGATTAAAGGCGCCCCATCGAGGTACCAACTAATTGTATCAATGCTCATAGACGTTTCAGTTTATCCTGGTGCGTAACGACAATCAAGACTGTGCTATTTGACTCATTAAAGAAAAATACTCCAGCTCAATAAATGCCACATAAAGGAATAGTTTATTTCTACAAGTAAGATAAGAGTATCTCATAAAGCAATATAACTTTCGCAATCATCTCGTATTGACTCAGCTTCGGAACATGGGTTTCAGTAAACACTTTTCGGTTACGTCATGGGTACAACAGAAGTGGCAGAATATTAGGCTCGCTAAGAACGTATCGCGGCAGATTCGAGTTTATCGAGCTATTCAGCAGCAGACGCAGTTAGCGCTGTTCGTCAAGAAAGACCTGCACGCCAATAGATGTTAATCTACCCTAGAAAAATTATTACTATCATCATAGCTAACTGTCATTGCGGTCCGGACTTCTTATTCGTCTGCTACTGCTGCCGCCTGTAAACGAGAACGCCGCCAATTCGCTCCCACGATGTGTGTCTTACAGAAAATATTAATTATAGCAATACCATATTGTCACTCTTGAATCTATACATCCATTAAAATACTAACTTCTAGTGGCATATTAAAACGATTGCCAATACTAACCACTCCCGATACGGAGTGCCAAAAACGTACGAATCGCACGGTTCCGCCAGATACGTCAATAGCTGATCAAGTAAAACTTTCGAGACTGAAGCTTTTAAGCTGTAGAAGACAACCAAGCCACAATGGCCGACTACTTGACCTGCGACGCTTGTAATGACCCCGACTCTTTTTTTCGTAAATCTAGCCTTTGTGCGGATAGGCGATGAGGCCTACTCGACGTTCGGCTATTTTTGTACGGCCTTACGATGTCGGGCGAGCTTCAAATCACGACATGTATTATTTATAGCTAACAAAATCAACAAACTCCTTTGCATAAGAAATAATTCTTATCTATTGAATAACCAACGCTCCCTTAGTGCAGTTCGAAATATAGCGATATAAGCAAGTGCCTGCCTATAGACTGTAGGGCAATAGCCACTCGTAATACTAATACTCTGAGGTTAGAATGACAATGCCTCGCGCCTGCTGAAGCAATACGTTTACAGTATTTAGCCAATCGTCCATGTACCAAAAACGTAGTTCTCAATTGCTGTTTTTGCCGACTGAACTTTGTTAGTTACCTATAGAACACAGTGCTCCAAACATGCCAGTGTCGATTTTCGTCTCTCAAGTATTTTAATTATCGAATTGGTAACAATATATCTACTGATAATTCAGTCTCGGTAAACACGCTCGTATCACCAACAATCGTCAATCAGGTATCGTTTTGGATTCACGAATTGTGTCCGGTACCTGCCTCACTAGGGCAAAGTGCGGAAATGATGGAGGTTTAAGCTGTAGAAAAACCCGCAATTTTCGATATTATGGCGAGCTGTTTCCCTCACATTTCGGTATAAGCCATAAGTCATCCATAGAGCCTCACCGCATGGCCTGTTGGGTAATTAAGCATTTATTAAATCGACGTGTAAGCGGCTTCTTTTCATGCCAAGTCGAGTTCATCCATTGACGAAACAGAGCAAGTAACACAAGCTTGCCGCCTTTCCTGTTTATCAGCTGTTTATCTATCCTGACGCAAAGCTGCTTAAGCCCACACAGGTAATATTTTTGAGCCTATAAGCCAACCAGTTGGAAAGCTCAAAAAATAACCTTCGAGAGACAGAACACTCTAACCAATTTGAAGAACTGAGGTCCATTCCAAATTTGGACCGATCACTAACGAAAATGAACGGTGTCTTTTTGGTAGAAATAATGTGACCTATTCGAAATGTATATACGTGCCTGTTACTGGTACATTGGCACGACAGGACCAGTCCTACTTTACCTTTCGCTAAAATACTCCAAGGTTTGGCAAGGAAGCTCGTCAGTACGCCCCAACCACCGGATTTCTTTGTTGCCTTTAAAGCTTCTCGTTGGCTTTCTGCCAGCTCGACAAGGCTTCTTTCTATTCGTACGACATCTATTATTAAACTATTGCATTTCTAGTAGTGCCCGTATTATCTCCATCCGCTTCGCGAGATAAGCTACGCACGACTACGAAACTGTCCTCACTATATTAGCACACGGCCGAAATCCAAAACTTCAACGAATTCTACTTTCGGATCAAACCAGAGCCGAACGACAACTATACATCATTTTCATTAAATTTCTGAACACTTTGTCCTATCTAAGAATCCTATTCTTTTTGATGACGGTAGTCATCAAGTTTTTCAGATACCAAACACAGGTTTTAATTAAATCTTCGTAAGGTTTTGGGGCGTCTGGCAATATGGCGCCACAATTGGAAGCCTATCTCGGTCGTCGTCTAATAGCCGAGCTGGCTATACATTAGTATGTGGTTGTAACTGTCGATTGCGTTGCTGATCGCGGTTCGTTTACCTCGGCACTTCGTAGGTCGATCGCCATTACCACATAAAGAACTATAGTTGGTCACCGCAGTGCCGCTTGAGTAACACCACGGTATTGTATACCAGGAGTTATTAAATAGATGTATATATATATAAACTAAGTTCGTACACTATTGACAGATACCTTGGGTCCAATAGCAGAACCACCGATACGGTAGTCATTAAGTAAGCACTAAACCAGAAACAGAACGAAGCAAAATCTCACTGTCTACCTAAATGGGAATGTTACTGAACTTCGCTGAATCAACAGGTTGCTGCTGACAAATACGTCTATATATATATATATATATATATGTATCTATCTAAACGCTTATTACTGCCTACGGTATCGCGCGAGGTCTAACCGTTCGTGTTACACGTGCATTCTGATTGGTGATATTAGAAGCGATATTTTGTACTCTCATGACGAAGCGCGCTTAAGACACTGCTACAATACCAATAGGCGAGCATCGAGTAAACTAGAAGAGCCTCTCATTGTGTAGTTTTTGCTTGTCCGTACACGAAGGTGAATATATGGACACGAATCGCCCCGTAACGTAATGATAACAGATATGGAAGCGATCGGGGGGTCGATTCGTTTCGGTCAGAGATGACATCGCTAGGATAGTAACAGTCCTGGATTATCAACAATACTAATAGTTTGTTCTAGTTCTGCCCTTATGACCGCGGCGCATGGCACTTGGCTACTGTGGGGTACTGAAAA